CCGCGCCTCGGCTTCGACGGCGTCACCGCCTGCCTGGTGGCCGACCCCAGGTGGGCACCCGGGGACGGGGGGGGACACCGGGGTGGCACCTGTGGCACCTTCTGTGGCACTTGGGTGGCACCTGTGGCACCCCCGTGGCACCTCCTGTGTCACCGCTGTCACCTCCTGTGGCACCCGCTGTGGCACCTGTGTTGTGTGTGGCACCTGTGTCACCTTCTATGGCACCCGGGTGGCACCTGTGGCACCTTCTGTGGCACCTGTGGCACCTGTCACCTGGCTGTGGCACCTCCTGTGGCACCTGGGTGGCGCCTGTGTTGTGTGTGGCACCTGTGTCACCTTCTACGGCACCTGAGTGGCACTCGGGTGGCACCTGTGTCACCTCCTGTGGCACCTGGGTGGCACTTGGGTGGCACCTGTGTCACCTCCTGTGTCACCTGTGGCACCCCCTGTGACACCTGTGGCACCTGGGTTGCGTGTGGCTCCTCTGTCACCTCCTGTGGCACCTGAGTGGCACCTGTGTCACCTCCTGTGGCACCTGTGTCACCTCCTGTGTCACCCGTGTGGCACCTGTTTCACCTCCTGTGGCACCCGGGTGGCACCTGTGCTGTGTGTGTCACGTTTTGTGGCACCTGGGTGGCACCTGTGGCACCCCCGTGGCATCTGTGGCACCTGATGTAGCACCTGTGTCACCTTCTATGGCACCCGGGTGGCACTTGGGTGGCACCTGTGTCACCTCCTGTGGCACCTGTGTCACCTGGGTGGCACCTGTGGCATCCCCTGTGTCACCTGTGTCGTGTGTGGCACCTCCTGTGGCATGTGGGTGGCACCTGTGGCACCTCCTGTGTGACGTGTGTCACCTCCTGTGACACCTGGATCACCTGAGTGGCACTTGGGTGGCACCTGTGTCACCTCCTGTGGCACCTGAGTGGCACATGGGTGGCACCTGTGCTGTGTGTGTCACCTCCCTGTCCTTCCAGTGCCACCCCCAATGTCCCCCCAGTGTCCCCTCAGTGTCCCTGTCCCTGCAGTGTCCCTGTCCTTGTCCCCGCAGTGTCCCCAATGTCCCCTCAGTGTCACTGTCACTGTCCCCAGTGTCCCCTCAGTGTCCCCAATGTCCCCTCAGTGTCCCTGTCCCTGTCCCCGCAGTGTCCCCGACTGCCACCTCGTCACTGTGGATGTCCCCTCAGTGTCCCTGTCCCTGTCCCTGCAGTGTCCCCAATGTCCCCTCAGTGTCCCCAATGTCCCCTCAGTGTCACTGTCCCTGCAGTGTCCCTGTCCTTGTCCCCCCAGTGTCCCCAATGTCCCCTCAGTGTCACTGTCACTGTCCCCAATGTCCCCTCAGTGTCCCCAATGTCCCCTCAATGTCCCTGTCCCTGTCCCCGCAGTGTCCCCAATGTCCCCTCAGTGTCCCTGTCCCTGTCCCCGCAGTGTCCCCGACTGCCACCTCGTCACCGTGGATGTCCCCTCAGTGTCCCCAATGTCCCCTCAGTGTCCCTGTCCTTGTCCCCGCAGTGTCCCCAATGTCCCCTCAGTGTCCCCAATGTCCCCTCAATGTCCCTGTCCCTGTTCCCGCAGTGTCCCCAATGTCCCCTCAGTGTCACTGTCACTGTCCCCAGTGTCCCCTCAGTGTCTCCAATGTCCCCAATGTCCCCTCAGTGTCCCTGTCCTTGTCCCCTCAGTGTCCCCAATGTCCCCTCAGTGTCCCTGTCCTTGTCCCCGCAGTGTCCCCAATGTCCCCTCAGTGTCCCCTCAGTGTCCCTGTCCCTGTCCCCGCAGTGTCCCCAATGTCCCCTCAGTGTCCCCAGTGTCCCCTCAGTGTCCCTGTCCCTGTCCC